TCTATAGCCCAGTCTAATCATTAGTCAAACCTAAACTGAGGCACATTCTACGAAATGCCTGACCAGTATTTTTAATATATATATATATATATTTAAGATTTATTTTTATTTTAGAGGAGAGAAAGAGAGCATCGGGTGGTGGCGGGGTGGGGGGAGGAGAGCGGAGGGGTAGAGGGAGAGAGAATCTTAAGTAGGCTAAGCGTTGAGCACAGAGCCTGATGCCCAGCTCAATCCCACGACCCTGAGATCACAACCTGAGCCAAAACCAAGAGATGGATGCTTATCCGACTGTGCCACCCAGGCGCCCCAACTGACCAGTATTTTTAGAAGGTATCAAGATCATGACAAAAATGGAAAGACAGAAAACAGTCACAGATTGGAGGAGACCACGGAAACATGCTCTGTAAATAAACTGTGGTATACCGGATTGGATCTTGGAACAGATAATGGACATCAGTGAAAAACCAGTGAAGTAAATCAAATCAATACTTTGGTTGCTACTACTATACCAACGTTAATTTCTTAGTTTTGACAAATGCACTGTCATTATGTAAGATGTTCGCATTAGGAGAATCTGGGTAAGGTATGTATGGGAGCTCTGAACTATCTTTGCAACTCTTCCCTAAGTCTGCAGTTATTCTAAAATAAAGAGTTTACTTAAAAATGAGAAGAAAGAGAGAACATATCCTGGTTAAAGGGAACTGCCTAGCAAAGCACAAAAAGAAAACCTCTGGTGTGTGGTTAGAGTTAGTGGGAGGGAGGTGGGAGCAGAAAAAGATGGAGAAGTTCTTTAAACTGGCATATTCCAAAGCATAAATTTCAATGCAGGGAAAGGCAGGGTCCAGATCATGTAGGTCCTTATATATAAGGTGACCATATAATGTATCATCTTAACTGGGACACTTTTGAGAATAAAAGGGGGTGCTCAGCAGACAAAAAGCTGGGACAACAAGCATAAACTGGGACTGTCCTAGGCAAACTGAACATATGATCAATCACCCTATTTATATACCATGAGAAGGGGTTTGGACTTGACTTTGAGAGCAATGTTTTCCATAATGTGTATTTTGAAGGCCTTCACAGCCATTAAATATAAAATTTTACCGTCAAATACATTCAGAAAAAAACTGAGTTAAAGAAAGTTATACTTGTTACTTTGCTGAACCAGAGCTTCAAGCATTTTATTTACAAATGTGTGCTGTGAATCTTCAAGATTGTATCATAATATGGTTTCCCATAGACACCCTTCTCTGATTCCTTCCTCCAACTACACAACCTCCCAGCCCTGCCCAGCCCAAGCACTTTTATTTTTAAGGAGTATATTTGGGGGCATGCTGCAATCATGGGGATGGCATAAAGCCTGGAGTGATGTTTTCAGATCCATGCTTCCAATACCCAGGGGTGGCTCTGACAATAATAAACTTGAGTAGAACTGGATATAGAGAAAATCATGAGGAGGCTGCTCCCGTGGATTGAGATGCAGACAGAGGGACTTAACAATATGTAGGAGGCGAAATTAGCATTGAACATACCAATCATCCTACCATAATTGTTCATGTAAGATTACTACAGGATGCTTATTTATTATGTGTGTTTAAAAGTCAGAGCAGAATCTGTTCTGTGCTTGGCACTGTGTAGTTTTAGAAAACTAGTACACGGCAGAAGGAGATGGAGGTGCATTTGAATATAAAGAGGTGGCATCTTATTAGTGTTCAAAGGACCTGAGAGGAATCCATTCGTGACATATTTTAAAACATGAAAAAAAATGGAAAGAACCCAGGAGGAGTATTCAGACAGCTGAGCCTTGGTCCTGGTTCAGTCAGTAACGAGCGGGGGAACCTGAAGAGGCCATAAGACTCAGATTCTCTGTTGCATTGTACTTTGCCTCCCACAGCCCTGCTTTCTCTCAAAGGAAACAGGAAAGGATGTATGAAAAATGCAATAGGCCTTATGCAGATATGAGTTCTTTTCATGATAGTTCCTTAAATGATTGAAATTCTTTTTCCTATTCACCAACCACTTCCTAATTCTCAAGTCCAATGCACAACTTTTGGTTTTTAATTTACTTGAACTTTCTGTGACATGTGATATCAAAAGAGCATTTCCTCTTTTTGAAATGTTTTCCTTCATTCTCTCCCATGCCTTTTCCTGGTTTACTTTTCAGCTCTCTGATTACTCCTTTTCAGGATTTTTCTTCCTCAGCCCTCCCTTAAACACAGGAGTCCATAACATTCCTTCTTTAGAGTTAATGACCTCATCTCTTGCCATAGCTCCAGCCAGAAATCTACCTTGAACTCCAACTCACACTTTCAAGAATCTGGAGGACATCTCAAACTGGGTATCACTTCCCCAGAATCTTTTTTTTTTTTTTTTAAGATTTTATTTATTTATTTGACAGAGAGAGAGAGGGAGAGCACAAGTAGGCAGAGCAGCAGGCAGAGGCAGAGGGAGAAGCAGGCCTCCCGCAGAACAGGGAGCCCGATGTGGGGCTCGATCCCAGGACCCTGGGATCATGATCTGAGCCGAAGGCAGACGCTTAACGGATGAGCCACCCAGGCGCCCCAACTTCCCCAGAATCTTAACTACAACACATCCAAAGCTTAATTTAATGAAGCTTTGCTCCCCCATTCCAGCACCTTCATCTTCAAACTGCAATTACTAGATTAGCGATCTTAGATCTCAGACAGCTACATCATGTTCAGCTCACATCCTGAAAATAGTAGTCATGTCTTCCATTCTTCATATCCAATTAATTTCCAAGTCTTCCTAAATATTTTTCAAAGTAGGCCTTCCCTTTTCTTTCCCAATGCATTTGCATTAGGACCATGCTTCAACATCTCTGATATTGGGGAGATTCTAAGTTGGGGACGTGCTACTATTGCAATAGCCTTCTAAATGGTTGCAGTCCCTCTCTCTCTGCGTCTCTCTCTCTCAGTGTTATTTCCTTTGAGTATCCCCCATTTCTCCAGTTTTTTTCATAGCATAGAATTATGAGCACATTACACTTTTGTTTAAAATCCTTTAATAGTTTAACTCCTCTCAGATACTCGTTTAACATGATCTAGAAAAGGTTTTTCATTATATAAACTCCGCTTGCCTTTCCAGTCTTTTGTCCCTCCAATCCACCCACTGTGCTTCATCTAAATAAAATTATGTAGAAATCCCTAAGAGTTTGTTCTTGTCTGTGAATTTTTATGTGCTCTTCCTTTTGCCTGGAATGTCCTTTCCCATCTTGTCTTCCCAGGGAACTCTAACACATCTTTCAAGGTTCTGTTAACACTTCCCCTTTGGAATGGTCCCTGACCACACACTAAGTCATCCTCATTCCTGGGCTCCCGCCATGCTGTGTATAAATCTTTATCACAGTACTTCTTATAGTGTCCTGGGCAAGATCTCACTCCTTGAATTCCTTGAGGGAAAATACTATACACCCCACAAATCTTGATACCTGCAGCTTCTGAAATAGTACCTGGCACATGGCAGCTTCTCAATGAATATTTGCTGAGTGGATGATATGGCAGGAAGAACTAAAGATTCTAAATTAAGTCATCTGGACCCATCCTGCTCATAATTATTTGTGTACTTTTGATGAAGTTTCTTTGGCTTTCAGTTTCCTTAATTTACTTCCTAAATGAGGAATTAGAGCTAGATTTTCTGTAAGGTCCCCTCCAGCTTTATGTTTTTGTTTTTTATACTCCATGGTTGGAATCATTGCCTATTATAGAAGCCGAAATACCTACTTTATTTGATCACAGAATTTTTTTTTTTAAGATTTTATTTATTTATTTGAGAGAGAGAATGAGATAGAGAGCATGAGAGGGGGGAGGGTCAGAGAGAGAGGCAGACTCCCTGCTGAGCAGGGAGCCCGACGTGGGACTCGATCCCGGGACTCCAGGATCATGACCTGAGCCGAAGGCAGTCGCTTAACCAACTGAGCCACCCAGGCGCCCTGATCACAGAATGTTTTATAAAAATTTAAAAATATTGATAAAAGGGATTTCACATAAAAATCCGAATTTCCTAAAAGTGCAATCAGTGCTAACTGAATCATGCTGCCTTTAGATGGGATGAATTCCTTCTGCTTGGCCAGCATGCTCACTCTATTGCCCCCTTTTTAGAGGCAGAATATAAGTTGCTGTTTATTAAAACACTTGCACTGTAGTTTTCTTCAGAAAAGATGTGAAATAGGAAATATTTCTTGTTCCCATTTTTCTGTTAAAAGCAGAATAATTAAAAATAAACTGAGAGACCCTTGTGTTTCTTATTCCTGTCTGACGTCACTCACTTAGGTACATATGTATGTATAATACTAAACAACCTAGAATTTGTTCAGGGGGTACCAATTCAAAATATTCTGGTTTTGTTTTTTTTCACCTGAGTGCATCTGGACCTTTCATGTCCTGATGATCCTTTCAGAGTAATAGTGTTGCCCTAATACAGGCAAAGGCCAAGCCAATCTATCTTCTAATTAATTTGCTGAGTATTTCTTTCACCCAAAGCAACCGATGCTTTTATCTAATAATTACATTGTTCCAATATTTACCATCAGAATATTTTCTGCTACTCCCTACCGTTCAAGGAACGACCTGTACGTGCTATGAAAACTTGTCTGCTAAATGGGCACACGAAGGTGACTGTTCACTGTCATTGTTCCTGCTAGGATTGCATATCTGCGTTAGCATTTTTTTAATGGAACTGTGACTACATTCTACTGCAGAGTAAAGACAAGATGGGCAGGACCTGATGGGGCGGGCTGAAGACACGAGTCTAGGGAGGCCGCCATCACCCGATAAAGACAGATGCTCTCCATTCCCTCCTCTTGTTTTTTGGCACTGGCTAAGGCGTTTGTCTTGCGTAAGTCGAGGCCTCAAAAAACATCTCCCTTGCAATTTTCTTGGTACCTTATTCCTTAGCTTAGACCCCGGGGGGGCGGGGCAGAATGGCTGTCACTCAATCCCGCCGGCCAACGAGAGGGGAGCGAGCCCCGCCTCCTTCCCGGAGCTGTACTGCGGGCATGCGCACTGGGCGTCCCAGTGCCACCGCCCATCAGCTGAGAATCGTAGCTGGGGGCTCTGGGGCCCGGGGGTCCCCGCGGCCGGAGGAGGAGGAGGAAGCCGAGGAGGTTGGGGTAAGAGCAGCCTGGGGGGTGCGAGGGAGGGTCCCTGGCCCGGCGCCCCAGAGGCGCGAAGTCCCCGCGGCTGCCGCGCCTCCTTGTTTGTGCGCGTTGTCCGGTGGCCTCAGCCTTGCGCTTGGCGGCTGCGGTCGGGAGGCGGAGGGAGGGCGCTGCCCCAGCCGCGGAGCACCACCGCTGCCCACGCCCCCGGTCAGGCCGGCCCGGCCGGCCCCGTCGGCCCCGCGCCCGCCACGCCGCAAGCAGCCCGGCCGGGGCGCTGGCTCCGCTGCGCCCGAGGGCTGCGCGCACCCGGGCGGGGCCGGCGCCGGGGCCCGCTGGGCTGAGCTCGGGAATCCTGCTTCTGCCTGGAGCGGGACACCAAGGGACCTCTTCCTCTTTGCGACTAATGGAGTTAGAGAACGCACTTTAAAGTTCTCTTCCCGAATACAGAGGAACTGAAAGTAGATGGCTGTCGTAAAGGAACCCTGTACATTTATTCGGAGGCTCGTTGTAGTGGGTTTTCTGTCTGGCTTGAAGGCAGGCTAACTTTCTTTGATCTCAGTACACGTCATTAATTGGTTTCCCTAAAGACCGTTAAAAATACGTAAAATATTTTAGGACACCTCCCCCACCCCGCTCCTTGTTTTTTAGGTTCTTACTTTTTAAAAATTCAGACACAAAAAAATAACATTACCTTTCTGGTCAAATGCTGTATTTTTTTTCCTCTCAAGTTTCTTGTATTTGCTTTGCTCTTCCGTACATACGTTAATTTTTATTTAATTCGGATCAGTGTATTTTGACTATAACTTCATATAATTTAAAACTTGTGCAGAATCTGGAAGAAAATGATTATGAAGTGCTGTGCTGTTGAGTAATGTTGCAGGTGGACGTTTCTTCGGAGCAGCCTTAGCCTCACCCCTGCAGAGACTTCTAGCAGTGTTCAGCAGTGTCTTGTGATGTGGACGGCCTCTGCTTTGAAGGCCGCTTTGAGAAGTTTGTCTCAGACGGTGACTAATCAAGAATTATGCTCTTGTTTCAAACTGTTTGTAGAAGTTATCATAGTACCTCATTAATGTCTGCATCATTTTTCTTCAGATATTTTACTTCTGCTCCTCCCGATAACATAGCCTCATTTTGGTTAGGATATCAAACTCTAGCCAAGTGCTGGGGGTGGAAAAATAAATTATATAAAACATCCATCAACAGTAAGTCCGAGTAAAGTTTGCCATGATTCCATTTAACTCGAAAGTTTGGTGTTTGGAAGGGTGAAAAATAAACCTTGGCATTGTGAGTAAAACCGAATAGTATAATAGTTTAACACATGGAGATGCTGAGCTAAAGAATTCAGTTAATTTGGTTTAGATAGAGAATGCTCACATCCCTAGAATGATCGCCTTCACATTCATGGAACAGCTACCGTGCATCTGATCTGTGGATTCCTCAAGGCTGACAAGGTTGTCTTGTTTTTATATCGCGGAGGTAGGGATAGATAATAAGCAGTATACTACCTAGATCATTTTAAATGGTGATTAGCACTATGATAAAAAAAAGTTAGATCAACAGAGAGTGGCAGGGGTGGTGACTTCTCATTTCAGATGCAGGTAGTCACCAAAGACTTATCCAGCATGCAATGAGACTTTGCTGGGGCAAAGGAGTCAGTCATGTGGAGATCATGGGAAAAGCCTTCTAGGGATAGGAAATGACACTCAGCAAAGGCCCTAAGGCAGTAATTAGCCCAGTACATTTAGGATCTGAAAGAAGACACTGGAATGTAATGTTTTAGGATTGGTAAATATTTATCCTCAGACTAGGTATGTGTTCTTAGGAAATAGGTACATTTATTCATTCAGTCTACAAATATTTATTAAGCACCTATTATATAACCAGGTACTGAGACTAGATTAGCGCACAAAACAGAGGAAACCTTGCCCTCCTGGGAGTTTACATTTTGGGGCACGGGGTGGAGGGACGTCCAGTATTTTATGCTAGTAATTGCAAGTAAGAAAGTGAAACTGACTATTGTTCTGTCCATGCTTGATTTATAGAACATGAGATTTATGCTTATTGGGAGTCTTGGGATTCTGCAGTGTGTCCAGGAGTAGTACCTGGGGTTAGTATTTGACACTTAAGATTTCACAGTTCCCTTTGTTCTTTTATTTGTGCTCTACAGAAAGTCTTGGGAATATCCTTGTTGTGAGTGTTGCACTTTGATCCTCTCTTTCCTTCTTTCCCTTTACAGTCTTGATGTATTTTCATAGAAAGGTAATTGTTGAGCTGTCTACATAAGCACTATTCAATAGAACTTTATGCTGTGATGGAAATGTTCTACCCAAGAGCTATACAAGCCCCTGGCCTCACATGTGATACTTGAGTACTTGATAGGGCAGGTACAGATAAAGAGTTATTATTCTGAGCAATAAAACTAGGAATTCTAAATGAGCTTTCAAAAAATATTCATCAAGAGTTCTTTAGTGCTTGGTAGGTCTGGGCTAAGCGCTGGAGACTGATGTGGAAAGCAGCCTTCAGCATAACTTGGTTGATTCTAGTCTATATGCAAAGATCATAAACTTTTAAGTCATTTTATAGTTAGCTGTAGTTTGTCTGTCTGTGTATATGTTTTCTCAGTGAAGTTAGTCATTTGCCTCCTTTATTTCTCATATTTCATCATCAGAGGGGCCAACCAGTGTTGTCTCCTAGATATCACCATTAGCAGAATAAGAGAGAAAAGGACTAAGCTATTCTGCTGTGTTTCCTTGATCTATTCATGTAGCTATCTGTTCCTCATCCTAAGAGCAGAGTTGCAGGTCTGTTCCGCATCTGAAGAGCAGAGTCTGCAGAAAGGCGGTAAATTTGTTTTGTTCTGTTTTGTTTTTTTAACTGAGTGGGTTCACCTGTCCTGAATTTTTGTTATATGATGAAGCAGTATGGTTTAGTGTTTTAAAAATATGGGCTGTAAGATGTAGTTTCAAATTTTAGCTCTTAGATTAAGCAAGTTACTTATTCTAATTATGCCTTGGTGTCTTCATGTGAAAAATCAGAATAACGAGTGTACCTACGTCAGAGGTCTGTTGTACGAGTCAACTGAGAAAATAAATCTAAAAGTCCTAAGGGCAGTGCTTTGGAAATATGTTAGCCATTGTTAATCTTGTTGACTTTTTTTTTTTTTTTTAAAGATTTTATTTATTTATTTGAGACAGAATGAGAGAGACAGAGAGCACATGAGAGGGGGGAGGGCCAGAGGGAGAAGCAGGCTCCCTGCCGAGCAGGGAGCCCGATGCGGGACTCGATCCTGGGACTCCAGGATCATGACCTGAGCCGAAGGCAGTCGCTTAACCAACTGAGCCACCCAGGCGCCCTATCTTGTTGACTTTTAACGTATCTTTCTCTTCCATCATTTGCAAATTTCTTTTCATTCTTCACTCAACACAGAGCTGAGGTGATAACCACTGTTCCCTTTGTCTAAGGAGATTCCAGCCAATCCAGCAGCAGCAGCTCTTTGGATGAAGGAAACCCAGTTATCTCAACAGCAGAAACTTTTGAGAATTTAGTTGCTTGAGTAAAGGGATGAGGAAAATTGGTGGTGGTTTAAGCTAATTGATTGATTCTCTGAAGAGGAAAAAAGGGGGCCTTGAAAAAAACAGGGAGAAGGCTTAGGTTAGGCTCTTATGAGTTTCGAGGATAAGGGGAATGCTATACTACTATGTATGTGGAAGGAGGAGCCTCCTGAAGACAGTAAATGAGAAACATTTCCTCATTCATATGTTTGTGTTGTCAGTGAGCCAGTTTTTCTAGAGCTCTAGTTGATGGGGGAAAGGAAAAGAAGGGTGTCAGTGAGCCAGGAGAGAATTGCTTCTGTCCATCAGTGGAATATTATTTGGCAGTGAAAAGGAATGACCTATTGATCCATGCTACAATATGGATGGACCTTGGCAACATGCAAAGAGAAAGAGGCCAGTCACAAAAGAACACGTGTGATTTTATTTATAGGAAATGTACAGAATAGGCAAACTCATGAAGACATAAAGTAGATTTGTGGTTGCCTACAGTGGAAGAGATTGCAGAGACATGGTAAGTGACCAACCATAGGATTGTACACTTTATTTAAAGTTTTTGAAAATTCTAATTCCAATATAGTTAATATACAGTGTTATATTAATTTCAGTATACAGGATTGTACACTTTAATGGGCGAGTCATGTGGTTGTCAATTATATCTCAAGCTTTTATTGAAAAATAAGATGCAGAATTTCAAGATCTAATTGGTGGTTTGTGGGATGCATGCGATAGTGTTGGTTTCAAATAAATTCCCAGGTCCAGTCTTGTTCTGTCTGGGCTCCAGCTCTTCAGGGGGCTGCAGGCCCAAGTCCAAGGCTATCTGCCACCTTGCTGAAGCAGTTCTGCTGTCTGAGTTGAGTTTTGGTCTATCTGTAGGACTAGGTGAGATCTGAAGGGCCCAGAATAGATAAATTAGACCTATGGATCAATGAAGGATGAATGGAGAGCATCTAAAAGTTCCCAGGAACTCCATGGTGGCCAGGGACATTCCACATTGCACCAGAGTTTCAGATATGGAGGCAGTACTGTTCTGCCTGTCTCAGCAGTTCTACAGGTGTCCTTCCTGCCAGCACGCACCTTAAGAACAAAGACACACATTTCCTTGTGCCCTCCCCCTCCCCTACCAGGAATCTCTAGTGGTTTCTTACTGCAGCGTATTAAAACTAAACCTAGCATTCAGGGCCCTCCCTCTTTTGTGACATTAGTTTTGTATGGTAGCAGTCATGGGTGGCTTTGGAACCCAAACCCTGGGATTGAACCCCACCTCCACGTGGTCAGTGGGTTGGATTACCTTTACAGTAACTTAATCTTTATAAGCCACAGTTTGCTCGTTGTTAAAACAGGGTTTATTTGCTACTATCTAAAGGGAAGGCTTTAAAAATTAAATTAGACGGTCTATGTGAAATGCATTTCATTTCACAGATGGGCAATATATTTCGGGTCATTTCTCTCTGTGTTGTCTCCCACTTGTCCCAACCGTGAATCACCTGATCCCAGGGAGACTGGCAACCACCCCTGCCTTTCAGAAATGACACACTGCAAATACCCTGTACACATGTTCTGGGTCTACCCATCCCAGGCTTCACATCTTTGCCTTTGTCATTTTCCGTACCAGTCATGCCCAGGGAGTCACATCTTCTGTTTCTGTTTCATTCTAGATGAGGGTAATAGTGAAATTTCCTTTTCCTAGCCTCTCACTTTTGCCTGGCACATGACCTTTTGCTGATTTATGTTGCTCTTGTTGTTTTACTCTACTAGGTTTCTCCCCTCTCCTAAATGGCAAACATGAATTGAGCAGATTCTTGTTGTTTTGTTTGCTTGCCCCTCCCTAGTGTTTCGTTTGATGCTGGGCACGTAGCGGACTCTCAGTAGAGAGTTGGTTTTACAAATTGACTGCCTACGATTTTGCCGCAGCCAGTGCACTCAGTGAAAAGATGGGTGTGGAGTTATTGAGAGTCTTTGCTGTGCCCAGTCACGTATGCAGGGACACCCTTTCCATCCTTCTTTGCAAACCCCAACATGTGTGGTGTGGCATGGATTGAGAAAGAAAGGAACTCCCTCTCACCTCTTTCTCCCCAGCTTTACTTCCTGTCCTGATGCCAGCTTCTGGAAGAGGAGAGCTGTTCTCCTTGCTCTTTTGGCAAAGTGTGATGAGCATTTTATGGAGCATTCCTTTTTTTCCTCACTTGTCAGCTGTGCCTCCCTCAAAGTTGACTTTTCCTATTAAAAGTAGAGACCCATTAGTCCTCTGTTCCCAAGCTGTTCCTCTGTGTGTTAAATTAGATATAGTGACATTTCTGGGGACACCCTGAAGTTTGTATACCATTTAATAAATATGTAAATACCTGTATTGTGTCAGGAATTGTTTAAATGTTGGAGAAAGAAAGATACATAGCATGCGGGCCCTGCTTTACAGTTGCTTGCAGTTAAGGAGAAAAATACATAAACAATTAAAATTATATGCAGAAAAGGGACTTGGTAACTCTTCCTTAGATCAACGTTTTCAAAGGGAATGTGCAATTTGAACCTTATTTTAATTGTTTAACATGACTGTGTCCTTTAAAAGGCCAATATTTTTGATAGCCATGAGAGTTTTACTATTTGATGTGTCCCTTTGCTATATTTCAACCCTGTTAGGTTAATCAACCTCCCAGATTGATAATTGATAATTTGGAAAATGTAGGCCAATAACTTTAAAAGTACAGTTATGTGACTTCTGTTTTTTAGGTGACTGCTTAGAAAACTGCCCAGTCTGCCAACATCTGATGAAATTAGTGAATAAGCAAACCAGCTATGTCTTACACTCCAGGAGTTGGTGGCGACCCTGCTCTGCTGGCCCAGCGTATCTCTTCTAACATCCAGAAGATCACACAATGTTGTAAGTTGAAATTTAAGTTGACTTCACTGTTTTTAATTCTTAACTGAACTTAGAGATTCATAATAGGACAACTCCAGTGACTGAGAGAGGGAGGAGCAATCCTCTAAAAACAGATTTTAGAAGGCTAGAACTCCTAAAATTAAAATTAAAAAAAATTTAAAAAAAAGAAGGCTAGAACTTTTTAGAGTGAATATGAAAGATAATTACATTAGAAGAGAGAATACTTACTGCACTTTTCTGTAGAATGCCAGGCACATGATACACTATTTTATTAATGAAATAAAGATTTAAAAGGATAGATACTTATATTTGCTTTAAAATCATCTGGTTCTAGATGAGATTAAAGCGACTTGTTCATTAAATCCCATAGGATTGGAACTGGGGAGCACCAAGAAGAGTTTACATTTATTAAAAATAAAGTTTTGTAAAGGGAAAAATACATGGTCCTTTATTAAGGAGCAGGGAGTGACTAATGAGGCAACATTTGAATCCTTTCAGACAGATCTAGAAGATAATTCTCAGAATTCCCACAAACTACCTTTGCTACACCTATCAAAAACAATCCTAGTAGACCAATCCCATGTAGCATTTTATTGGAAATTATTACTCCTTGGGATGTATAGAGATAGAAAGATAAATTGTTTAAAAGATCACTGTAGCAGATTTGAGACTAAAGTTTTTTTGTTTTACATTTGTTTCCAAATCATAGCTAATCACATATGTGGATTATTCTAGTCACCTTGTGGTGATCAGTATTTTGGCCCTTTGGGCATCACCTGAACTCCTTTTTTAGAGTGTGTTAATACAGCATTATTCTTTAGCTTACTTTGTTAAGTCTCCTGTCCTCTTTACCAGAATGTGTTAACACACTGTGAAAATAAAGAATGTTTTCAGATGACCAGACCATGTTTTCTTATCTAATCATTAACTTCCCAGAAGTTACTACTCTGCCTAAATGATTTCAGTGAGATGTCAGCATGTTTTGGAGGCAAAAGGAGTAAAAGTAGATTATAGATGGTTCTAAAAAGGTGCTGCTCTGCACAGTGGTATAATATGAAATCCAAAGAAAACAAGATTTTTTTCTTTCTTAGAAGTAGTGCTGGTCTGCCTCAGGCTCATGTGTGAAAATTAAGAGAGGTTATAATTTTAATTTACAGGTGTGGGAAAATCAGGACCTTTATGTAAGAAAGGAGACCAGTAGGCCTTCCTCCAGAGGACAGGGCAGGTCTTTTGTGCTAGGAAAGGTGAATGTGTTAGGAATCCTGGAAGGAGGTAGAGGAGTGAATGTAGGCACTCAAGATTATAGAGGCAGCAAGCATCCAGTGGTGTGACAAATACACCAATTGGAGATTATGTGCGAGCTTGAACTGGAAGGAGCTAAGAGTTAACTTAAGTCATGTCCCCTAAGAAAGAGATCAATTGATCCAATGAGATGAGAAGTGATACGTTGGGCCAGAGTTGCATATTCATGGCATAACTGATAACTAAGTATGTGACTGCATTGTGTGATTTAGGGCAGCTTTGGAGCGTGGGGGAGTGTGGTGGTAGGACCCACAACTTTGTCTTGTGGAAGGGGGTTAAGAAGACTAGGACTGGGGTGCCTGGGTATCTCATTTGGCTAAGCATCCAACTCTTGATTTTGGCTCAGGTCATGATCCTCAGGGTAATGAAATCGAGGCCTGCCTAGGACACCCTGCTGGGTGTGGAGTCTGCTTGAGATTCTCTCTCTCCCTCTGCCCTTCTCCCTGCTCACATGCCCTCTCTTTCTCTCTCTCAATAAATAAAATCTTTTTTTTTGAGAGAGAGAGAGAGAGCATGAGCAGGGGAAGGGGCAGAGGGAGAAGCAGGGTCCCTGCTGAGCAAAGAGCTCGATGTGGGACTCGATCCCAGGACCCTGGATCATGACCCAAGTCGAAGGCAGATGCTTAACCAACTGAGCAACCCAGGCGCCCCTCAGTAAATAAAATCTTAAAAAAAAAAAAAAAAAGACTAGGACTGTTCAGCCGTGAGAAGCTACAGTCACCACATTCAAATATTGGAAACACTGCCTTATGTAAAATACAAGAAAGGTATTCTGCATGATCATGAAGGTCTCCACAAAGGAATAGAAGCAGCGTAGCCAGACTTCAGCTCCTGAAGGAATGGGGCTTTGGAATAATCCTAGTTATTCAGGGATGGAATTGCCATGCTCAGGAGGAGTGCAGTCCCTGTTACTAAATGACGAGCATATGGTGGTCAGATACTATTTCTCAGGCCTATTAGTAAGAGGTTTAAACGCTGGAGTAATGGTTCAGACTGAGTGACTTATAATTGGGATATTCTCTCTCTGTTCGTTCAGCTAATAATTTATTGAGCACCTGCTGCTTGCTAGTCATGGTACGAGACCCTGGGAATCCAATAGTAAGCAAGAGCTCCAAGGCCCTCTTCTCATATAGTTTATAGTGTAAGAAGAAACTGATGGTTACAAAAAAAAAATTAAGGGGGATGGGGAGATGGGGTAACTGGGTGATGGGCATGTAGGAGGGCACGTGATGTAATGAGCACTGAGTGTTATATGCAACTGATGAATCACTGAACTCTCCCTCTGAAACTAATAATACACTATATGTTAATTAATTGAATTTAAATGAAATTTTTTAAAAAGTAAAAAAAAAAAATTAATGAACCACATGGTGTCCTATGATGAAAATGAGAGTGCTGTGAGAGCAGGCGCCTTGGGGGAAGCTGCCTTAGGCGAGATGGCCCCCTGAGTGAGGATGAGAAGGGGCTGGGGGTGAGAGGATGTAGGACAAGAGCATTTAGAAGCAACCAGTAGCTGGTATTAAAATCCTGAAGCAGTCCAGAGCTTGGGATGTTCAGAAAATAGGCAAGAAAGAGAAGCCCGGTGTGGCCGAAACACAGCACTTGAGGCAAGAGTGTCGGAGATGAAATCAGAGAGGAGGCCGAGTAGGCCACCTGGAGCCTTGGAGGCTGTCGGGGGGGTTTAGATTTCATTCTAAGAAGGAAGACACACAATCAGATCTGTGCTTTGAAAGGATTGCTTTGGCTGCCGCTGCTTAGAAAGTAGATTTTGAGGAATTTGAGGTGGGGACACATTGGCCATCACAGGGGTCTGGTGAAAGAGATGTTGGCTTGTACCAGCGTGGTGGCAGTGGGAGAGAACTGATGAATGTCCTTTGGAGGCAGAGCCAGCAAGACTTACTGATGAATGTGGGTGGATTGAGAAAGAGAGGGGGGAGTCCAGGGTGAATCCATGGTTTTTGCACTGAGCAACCGAGTTTATATACCAAGGTGGGAAGAACTGTAGTTCAGAAGTGGAGAGAATTTTGTTTTGGCCAAGTAAAGTTTGAGATGTCTTTTAAACACCCAAGTGGAGATGTCAAACATCTAGTTTAGATATATAAATTTGGAGATCAGAGTGTCATCAGAGAATAAATGGTATTTGAAACCGTAAGTCTAAAATAATCACAAAGGAGTAAGAGCAGAGAGCTGGAGCATTAAAAAATGCGGAAGTCAGAAAGGCAGGGAGAAAGCATAAAGAATCAGAGTGACCAGTGAGGTAAGAAGAAAATCAGGATCTGGTAGATTTCCAGAAATCAAAAAGAAGTGTTTCAAGACTGAATGAGGCATCATCTGTGTTTAATGCTGCCAAGAGACTAAAAAGCAGAGAATTGAAGCGGGCAAACTGGTCACTTCAAAAAGAATGGTCTCAGGGGTGCCTGGGTGCCTCAGTCGGTTAAGCATCTGCCTTTGGCTCAAGTCATAATCCCAGGGTCCTGGAATCAAGTCCTGCATAGGGCCCCTTGCTCAGCAGGGAGCCTGCTTTTCCCTCTCCTTCTGCCTACCACTCTCCCTGCTTGCGCTCTCTCTGTCAAATAAATAAATAAAGTCTTTAAAAAAAAAAAAAAGAAGAAAGAAAAGAATGGTCTCATATTCATGTTCTGAGTGTAGAGGGAGAAAAGGAGGGAAAAGGACTGACCCTTTTTTAGCTAAAGAGACTTCTTAGAATCCTACTCACCTCTGCTTGTATCATTGACCAGAGTTTACATATAGTCAAGTGGCTACACCTAGCTGCTAGGAAGTCTGGATTGCACTATGCTCACTAAAATTGGGGCTTGCTCCATTTAGGAAGAGAAAAATCAGTATTTAGTAGGCAACTGGAAGATTCCACCATTGAAGTAGAAAGAGGGTCAAAGAAAAGGTTGCATTTTTCCACTACACAAGAGAGAGTCTAGTGAGAGTATAATTGCAAAAGAAAGGTCTCTGAAGGCAAGAGGGGTAGGGGAATGGTCACCAGTGCCCAGTTTGCCTTTCGTCCACTGTACAGAGCCCAGTGTGGTGCAGACGGTAAACGTGGTGGGCAAAGATGGAGGAGTTCTTTCTGAGTGGACTGGTTTTAAATGGAATAGGAGGCAAAGGCATTGGACAGAGAACGGGATTGAAGGCTGTGGGAAGTTTATGGAAAGAAGAGAACGTGATAGTTGTAGTTTTGACAATGGAGAGGATTGACATACCTCAGTATGAAGGGTTGTTTGGCAGGTTGAGTACTCAAGATTTGGAATCATGAATGTAGTGAAACCAGTCATCACTATGTATTTTTTCTTATTCTGAGATTCAGTGTCTGAATGAAGGGACGTTTAGATGAGGTAGAGTTAGTTATTGTTAAAGATCTAACCTGCCCCATGTGCATCACCAATACAGATATGAAGAAATCACGTGGAAGTGAAAGGCAGAAGTGTGAAATTTCAGTTCATTTTTTTCCCATCTGGTAGTGCTAATAATACTGGATGTGATTGAATAAGGTGGTACTTTGCACCACATTTAGGTGTTTTCTCTTCACACTACATTTGCATCTTTTAAATTTGTGTCAATACAAATTACCTAGTTGTATTCAGGACACCCAGAACACACAGAAGTAACTCATGTTTTTGAAAGAAACAGAATAAATATATTGAAATTCATCACATAATGAAGATTTTTTAATCTTTAAAAAATAGAAC